GATGCAAAGGGCTGTGAAGAGAGGGAGTATTTCTCAGTTCTCCCAGGCATAAATCTCCAAGTCTTATTGTTGAGGGGAAGCAGTTTTATTTCTGACTTCTCCTGTAAGGACTCAGGATGCCCTGCCATCGCTGTACAGTTTACGCAAGATACAATCTCGTGTATGAAGTTGGGAGGGTGTTTACTATCTTTTGAGGCGCTGGGATACGTGAAGTCTTAGACTGTTTCAGACCTGTTTTGTCTAACTTCAAAGCCAGGTTGTTTCCTGCAGGTTTAGAGGTGAGAAATGCCCGGCTAAAGACATCTTAGGGCTCATCCAGTCTCATGTACAGAAAAGAATAGGGAGGCCCAGAGAGGGATGTAACTCAGCCCAGCCTCTCTCCCCCCACCCAGTGTTGGTTCTGGGCTGGGACCCAGTGGGTGTCCAGATGCCTGACAACGTTCTCCAGGCCAAGGTATATAAGAACCTTGTGGCCTGGGGATGTGAAGACAGCTGGACAAACAGCTTGGGGGCTCTGGGGCCAATCTCCTGCCAGGACTTGGTGCCCTCGTGGGGGCGTGGGAGGAGTGTTGAGGGCAGTGGGGGAGATGGCGGTCCTACAAGCACCTTCCCTTTTTGAGCATGCGCCCAACCCTGCTTTTGAGAAGAGCCCCCTCCCTAGGGCCTGACCAGCTCCAAGCCAAGCTGATCCCGGAAAAGGCTCTGGAGACTCCAGGGACTCCATTGTGGTTGGCTCCTGGGATCATCTGTCTAGCAAGGAGACTTCCCACCAGCCCCCCAGCTCCTGGAGGGTTTCTGGATGGAAGTGCTCCCGTGGCGCATGATTGGCAGAATGAGAAATATCCTTTAGGGACATTCTGAGTCATTAAACACTCAGAGTTGGACTCCCTGGACTGACTGGAATGTGGACTTCAGTTCTGGCCATGCTCACCCAGAAGGGGTCAAATCTGGGACTTCTGATTGGCCAAGTGCCACAGAACCACATACCATCAGACAAATGCTGTCGCTCACATGAAAACTTCTCATTGTACAGCCCACCAGGGCTCAGAGTAGGCAAGGGATTTGTCCTTGATCACACAGCAGACCCATCTAGATCTCAGCCCTCTTGATTCCATTGCTCTTTCTATCATGTTAACAGCCATCACATATCTCAGATTTTCTGAGACATCCAGGTTTTTTTTTTTTATAATTTTATTCTGTTAAATGGGATTTAAACTGTGTCACTACATGCGATTTTGATTTTGGTTGTTTTGTGAGGTTTTTCAGATAAATGATTTACAGGTCAGAGGAAATGCTTTTGCTCAGATCACAAGTCCTAAGTGTGAGTTTGAAATGAATGGCCTGGGGAGAAGTCAGGCAAACTCCAAGTGCCTACACCAGGCACATGGCAACACTCTGAGCAAGGAGCTAAACTGTGAATTGTATGTCTCATGGCCTGGTTACCCTGGGCAACGAATGGTGCAGAAATTAGAAATTCATCCCAAACTGCTATGGAAAGCCTGGACAGGAGGCGAGTAACCAATGCAGTGGCTCAGCACGACGATTCTGCCCAAGAGAGGTGCTCCATATTGGATGACAAGTCCCTGAGCCAGTTGGAGGCTGAGTTCAGGGACTGAGAGCAGGCAGTAGGGAAAGCAGGAGGAGCCAGAGCTCTAGAGGACCAGCAGAGATGGAAAAGGTGGAATCCAAGCTGGGGACTTGGGAACGGCAAGAAGAATGGGCCGTGTGCATCCTGACCGGCACCCCGGTTCACCAGGTGTCCTGACCACGTGACTGGGAAGCACTTTCACGGGCATCTTCCTTTCACCTTCCTGCGTGTCTTCACAATAAACACCCTGAAACAGCTCAGGAATGGTTACGGCCAGGACATCCTGGGAGCCACCCTGAATTCTGGACAGCTGAAAGTTGGAGGAGGGGGATGGCGGGGCTAGTGTTCCTACCTAGGCCAGTTTTCCTCCCTTCAGGCTGAGCCCCAGCCAAGCCACCCCGTGGCCCACTGAGCCCCAGCCAAGTGCATTGGGGGATGGGTGGGAGCCATCAAGGGCTGGGTGTGTACTAAAGGCAGGGGGTAAGGGGAGGCTGGTGCAGTCTGGGAACTGACAGGAGTGGAATGAGGCTACATTGCAGGTGGGAGGTGGAGGTATTGAAACTGAAGCCAGTGGAGGCAGGTTGGGACCTGAGCGGGTTGGGGTCTGAGTGGGACCGGCCTTGTAACAAGAGTGTAAACTTCATCCCACTGGGAAGTCACTGAAATGTTGAAGCAGGGGGGTGTAACACGCTCTCTCTCCTGTTTAGTAAGCTCTCTTCCAAACATCTAAATACAGATTTGAGAATAGTGGATTCTGCGGCTGGCGGTCGCGGCCCTGGAGTGTTTCTGAGTTGTCTGATTGGTGGCCGTGACCTGCTGCTGAGGGCTTGAGCTCAGCCTGTCCCAACGGAGATGTGCTAATAGGGTAAAACGCACCCCAGACTCTGAAGACTTACTATGGACTGAAAGCTGTAAAATACTTTTATCGATAACTTTTATATTGATTACATGTTGAAATGGTAATATGTGGATATCTGGGGCTAAATAAAATATATTATTATTATCATATATACACACACTTAAAATTAATTTTACCTCTTTTTAAGAACGAGCTACTAGGAACTTCAAATCACGTAAGTGGCTTGCATTCCATTTCCACCGGACATCCCTGGCAAGGGATGGCTGAGGAAGGGGTCTTAGGAAAGAATTCTGGGGAACGTCAGTGTTTAGGAGATGATAGAAGGAGAGGAGCTGCTTTTGGAATTGTTTGGTTTGGAAACATTTGAGTTTAGCTTAAACAAAACAAAAGCTATTCAGAGAATTCAGGATATTTTCTCGAGCTCAGTATATCCAGGGCCGAGGAGGACCTGGGGCCTGGACTCCGTTAGGAATCACTGTGAGGGGCGCCTGGGTGGCTCAGATGGTTAAGTGTCTGCCTTAGGCTCAGGTCATGATCTCCAGGTCCTGGGATTGAGCCCCACGTCCGGCTCCCAGCTCAGTGGGGAGCCTGTTTCTCTCTCTCCCACTCCCCCTTCCTGTGTTCTCTCTGCCTTTCTCTCTCTCATATGAATAAATAAATAAAATCTTAAAAAAAAATCAATGTGAATAGTCTCACCGAGTCTTTTTATCTGGGCCCTCGTGTCTGTGGTTTTCCTTTTCTCGGTGCCCTTTGCTTTGTTCTTTCTCAGCAGCTGGCTTTCTCTGACCCACCAGCGTCTGGGCCTGCCCACCCTCATGCTAACCTGCCTTCCCAGGACAAGGACCACGGCATGGACTAGAACTTCTGTGACTCAGACTCCCAGCCCAGGAGGGAACACGTGATGAATGAGACCTTGTTCAGGAGGGCCGCCTGGTCCAGACAGTCATGACCAGAGGTGGAGGTCATGTAATAGCTCAGTTGGCAGGTTCTGGGGGTGTTGAACTTTGAGGAAGGGGTAGGGGCAGGACGGGTGAAACTACATTTTGTAGCATTTGCTGGAAACCCTCCAGGGGAGTCTGAAGGAGCAGGCACAGTATGGGAGGGAGCCGCACGCCAACTCCCCGCCCCGGCCCTCCCCACCCCCACCGCCTCTCAGAAACCAGGGGATCCAAGTCTGTTGAGAGGCCAGTAACAGGCAGGATGAAAACGCCCTTTGGGTTCAGCTCAGCCCTGGGGGCACTGAGTGACGAAGGCCACAGCTGTCTCAGTGAAGGGAGGAGGCCGGAGAGCAGTTTGAAGATGTACGAGGTTAGAAGGTACAAGCCCGAGAGGCATCCAACTCCTTTATAAAGTTTAGTTGTGAAGGGGAGAAATTTTAAGACGGTGTGGCCCCTGCGGAGAGATACAGTTCCAAGGGGGGCTAGTTGGTTTGGTTCGTTTTTGTTAAGACAGGAGATGTGGGAGCTCATTTGACGTGTGCTGAGAAATGAGCCAGGAGAGAGTGAATGGGTAGAGGAGACCTGAGGGGGAAAACATCCAAAGGCTGCTTTCCTTTGGACTGGGTGCAGAGCCCCAGTGGGAGGACTGACTTCCTGCTGGGATTGGAGGGAACTCAGGGAACATAGAGTGACAATGGTGGCCCTTGGTTATGGCTACGCTTTTTGCATGTACATATGACACAGAGCTGTCCAGGGGCCTGGGTCTGGGCCATGGATCAGAGACCTGGGGCAAGCAGGTGGATTGGATCGGGACTGGAGTAGCGCTGGCTTCTGCCTGCAGTGGCTCTGGGCTTGTCTTGTCCTCTGCTCACACGCGTGCTGGGACATGTACATGCCCACAGGGTACTTCCAAGCACAGGACTTGCTATGGACAATATTGCATCCTTGCCCAAATTTGTATGTTGATGCTCCAGCCTCCAGTGTGATGGTAATTGGAGGTGGGGCCTTTGGAAGGTAACTGGGGATAGATGAGGTCATAGGGGAGGGCATGATGGTGGGACTAGTGTTCTCAGAAGAAGAGACAGCAGAAACCTTGCTTCTCTCTCACTGTCCCCGCCAAGTGAGGACACAATAAGAAGGTGGACATCTGCACAGCAGGAGGAGGGCTCCCACCGGACACTGAGTCTGCTAGCGCCTCGATCTTGAACTTCCCAGTGTCCAGAACTGGGAGAAAGAAATGTTTGTTGTTTACGTGGTCTGCCTGTGGCTTGTTGTCGCAACCCGAGCAGACCTGGTGTATACGCAGCTCTGTGCACTTGTAGACATGCACACGGGTTCCCATCGGCCCAGCCTCTCTGTACCCGTGTGCCCATCCCTGCATGTGACACAGAAGTCCCAGTGGATGGTTATGCATCGCATGTGTCTGCGTGGCGGCCAGCCCCCTTCTCCCTGCTGCCCCCACTCTTGAGCACGGTGGCCTGAGTTCATTGCCATTTATTGAACGTTTCCACCGAAGGAAGGGGTGGGGAGCAAGAAAGGGAAGCTGTCTTTGTTTAAGATTGAGCCAGGGAGCTGAAGGGGACCTCAGGGAAAGGGGTCAATGGGGGAAGGTCAATGGGGGAAGGTGGCCTGTGAGGAAGGGCTGGACAGAAGAATGACATGGCCTCGGCTGAGGGAGGATGAGGACAAGGGTGGGGCATGGGAAGGGTCTGTAGTCAAACCTTTGGGCTGGAGCATGGACCTGCTCAGGGCCTCCCAAGGTGCCCCCAGAGCCCAGAGGCAGGCGAAGACCTGGCTGGGATTCGTTTCTGAAGGGCAGGGAAAGGAGGGCTCTGCTGTCTTCAGCTGAGATCCTGGCCCGGTCCACAAGGCTGCAGAGGGATCTTCTGGGATGCTTTCTCTGCTTCTGGTTCCTGCTTTGGTTTCTTTGCCCGCCAGGACCTAGGGAAAGAGAACTCAGGAAAAGCGCCCGGTCTGGATCTGCTTCCCCAATGAGGAGTTCCAGTGGGACCAGAGGCAAGGGACTGACCAGTTTTCCACGTCTTCGATAGTCTCTGGCAAGGGCCGATTGAGCGTCTCAGGCAGGAAGTAGGCGGCACTGCCTCCAAGGAAGGTGACGGTCCCAAATATAACACTGGGGATGAAGGGCTGCAACTCCCCTGTGATTTTCACCAGTGGGGCCAACATGCTTCCCACACGGGTCCACATGTTGCTTATGCCCATACCTGTTTGCCTTGGGAGAATCCAGGGCACGGATTGGCAGCCTGTGTGGGTCTTATGGGACCCCTGGGCAGGGGCGGGAGGATGCCACAATCCCACCTGACCCCATATCCTTTGGCTGGGTCAGCCCTAAGCCCAGCACCTACCGGATGACCGTGGGGTATAGCTCGGTCGTGTAGAGGAAGAGGCAGCTGAAGGAGCTGGACAGGCAGCCCTTCCCAAACACAGCCAGGACTGTCCTCAGGGTTGGCAAGTCTACAGAGGGAAGAAAAGGCGATGGGTCTTTGCCTCAGAAGCACCTGAGTGTTTTCCCTCCTCAGTGGACTTTGTCTCCCTTTTTGCTTTGGCTTCTGGAAAGCTCAGATCTAATTTAAATTTGAGTAAGAGCCCCTCTGCTGTTTCTAGTGCTTTGCGGGCTGTCCTGCTGCATTGGTGTTTTCCCCTGGCTCTGATTTCCTTCTCCCATATTTTGTTGTATATATGCTGGTCCTAAAATAGCTCACGTTCCTTTGGGAGAATATGGGTGTATCAACACACAAACATCTATATAAATGTGGCTTTTCCAAGGCCGTGGTGGGAGTAGGTTGTGGGGTCTCCCCTGAGCACTGAGCTCCATGGTTTTCCCATGCCAGCTCATCTTCCTCTTAGCGATGTCAGCAGGCCATGCTCCATCCTGGAGCGATCCCTCCCACTGGCCAGACACCACCATACTTTGCCCAGCCTGGGTCAGATCTGGAAAGGAGCTTTGGTATCATCTAGCCCAAATGAGTCATTTTCTAGATGAGAAACGTGAGCCCCAGAGAGTTCAGGGACCTGCTCAAGGTAACACAGAGAATTAGGGGCAGAGCCAGCAGAATTGGGATCCCAGGAACCCCACTTCCCAGTCTGCGGCAGCCTGTGTTGCCCACGGACACGTTGGGCTGCTTTCAGAGGGCTCTGGCTTAGTCCTGGTTTCTCACCTGAGGGCACAAAGATGATAGCCAGAATGGCCCCTCCTGCCAGAAGTAGAGCACCCGCCTGAGTGATGTGTCGGCCCAGATGGTTCATGGAGAGGACGGTGATGAACTTGGCCGGGATGTCGACCCCACCAAAGATGAGCTGGAGGACATAGAGGTTGACTCCAAAATCTTCCACACTCATAGCCAGACTGTAGTAGCCAAAACCAGTGGAAAACCTGAGGGGAAGGGAGTGATTGGTTGGTGCCTGCCGCCAGACTAGGGTCTCTCCCTACACTGGTCATGGGGTCATCGGGAAGATGAATAGTCTCATTTCTTATCCCAACCGCAGCTGATCCGTACAGGCTGCTCCGAGAGCTCTCTGAGATTGTGTCAGGGCTCAGTGCTGGGATGGATTCATTATGTCTGATAAGGGCACGGTCTAGGGTGTGGTGGCAAAGATTTACATAATTGACTCTAGAGAATATCAGGACTGGCGAGACTCTGGGAGACCAAAGGAGCTAGGAAATGGTCTCTCTTGGTTGTGTAATAGTTGAACATCTAGAATGGGAGAGGTGAGTCAAGCTGTGTGCCTGGGTCAGATGCTTCCTCTTTCCCTCTCAGAATCGTGGGATCTCTTTTGAAGTCCCAGGACATATCGACCCTATTCATGTGGAGATAAAGGAGGGTCTCTGAACCAGGTCACGGAGAGGGCTTTGCAGGAGCTGTAGAATGTCAGACAGAAGAGACGACTTGGAGAAGCGTAATTTCTGTCTTCAGGCCGTGAGGGCCAGCCTTGCTCCGTGTGGTCCCAGAGGGCAGAGCTGGGCCAGTGGGGGCGGTGACGGAAAGGCAGAGAATGGGGCAATTGCCATAGTAGGGATGGGAGCTGTGAGTGGGGAAGGGGTTTGGAGTATTTGCCTTGTGGGTGGGGTGTGCATGACCTGACAGGGAAGCAGACGCTGATGGCCAGGACTAGGTATGTGGCTGGGACACAGGAGATTTATTTCCAGGGTTGGGGCTGGGCTGTGGCAGCCCAGGGAGGGGATCTCTTGACTCCTCTTGCAAGTACCCTAGGCCTTCCCCTTTGGAAAACCTGCTGGAAGCCTTGTTCATTGCTTCTGTTTGGCAGAGATGTGCGGGTGTGAGCAACGAAGGGTGGTGCGTTACCAGGCCAGAGAAAGACAGAAGGTCACACGGCACAGGTTGGGTGTCATGAAGAGGTCAGCCATGCTGTACTTGGCCTTGGCCAAGGAGATCTCCTTCTGCATGCTGAATTTGAGATCCTTGGGGCAGAGGAAAGAGAGGGGTGCCATTAGTGATTGGCTGGTGGGCAGGAGGAAGGAGGGAGGGAGGCGCAGGCCTGGTGTCTCTAGAAGACTTTTCCTGGGGCATTGGATGTGATGTTGGCTTGGGATCAGGGAAACAGAGGCAAGAGGAGGGTTCCTGGTCCAGACTATAATCCCTCTTGGTTCCTACCTCCACACTGAGTTTTTCTCCTTCTTCCTTCTTGCCATTGAGGGCAGCCATCCACCGGAGTATTTTCAGGGCCTTTGAGAATTTTCCAGACAGGACCACCCAGCGTACAGACTCTGGTATCCACCTGGGTGCCAGAACCAAGTCACAGTGACTCCCCCCACGCCAGAGCCTTTTTGGTGGGGCCAGAAGAACACCAACATCAACAGGGCCCAGAGCAGGAGGTCCAGAAACCCAAGCTGTTTTACTGCAGATTTCATGGAATTTAAACTTGGCCAAGCTTTGCACCTGGGCTGCCTGCTGCCAGCACAAATTCTAGCATTCTCTTTTTCCCCTTCCAGAAGAGCCTTTCCTCTGCCCCCTACCTGGGCTACTTGTTATCGTTGGGTATCTTCCTTAGCTAGGAGCCTTGGGCCTGGGCCAAGGCAGGTGGGTCCTGGGGAAGGGACGGCATGTTCAAGGCTAGACAGCTGGACGTTCCTGTATATCCTCCTCCCCAGCCCTTCTTGGGCCACCTCCTAGGGCGAAGAAGGGGCAGGGTTTCGGTCCTGGGGCAGCTTGAGAAGGTGGCTCAGGTTAGGGTTATGGCCTAGCGGACGGGTTGGAGGCAGAGGACCAATTCTGCTGGAGTAGGAGCACAGCATGAGGTCCTGGGATCAGTGAGCAGGAAGCCGACCTCACTTTCCCCACCTCTAGGCTGTACTTTTGGGCTTGGTTCGCCCTGAGCAGACCCTGAATGTCACTAGGCAAAGAGAAATAGAGGAGAAGGAGGTGTGGGGAAGAAGGAATGATATTTTAAAAAGCCCTGTCTGAGGGGTGTCAGCTGTGTCTGTGGCCACCATAGGCACCCAGGACCAGACTCCGTCCTCCTCTCCCCAACAAGAGGAACAGTGGCTCCCCAACAGTGAGCCTTCCTGTGGACCAGGCCCCCATGACCCTGGATGATGGGCGTTACTATCTTCATTTTGCCTAGGATAATCTCGGGGCTCAGAGTGGGTGAGGCTTGTCCCAAGTCCCAGGGAGAAGGGGCCTGAGCTCTCGACTGTTCCCCGCTGACGCTCTGCTGCTCTTTGCTCCCTGTCTTCTCCCATCCCAGGCTGTGAACATTTCCGGGCTCTACCCTGGACCCTTGGACCACCTGTCCATCCCCTTCTGTAAGATTCTACTCTCATTTTCAAATGGAGGTCTGTCCCTCTTCTATGTCTTTTTGTGTAACCCTGGGGGATGGCTTCACTTCTCTAAGCCTCTGTTCCCTCATCTGTCAAATGGGACAGAGATGCCTCCTTCACACAGAGATGTCACGAGGATCAGGATGATTTAAGGGGACACCTAGAACGGGGCCTTGTACACAGGACGTGCTCAGTAAAGTGTCATTCTGTGTCAGTTAAGCATCTGACCCTGGATCCCAGCTCATATCTTGATCTCAGGACCCTGAGTTCAAGCTCCACACTGGGTTCCATGGCCAGCATGGAGCCTACTTAAAAAACAGAAAACAAGTTACATTTTGGAGTTTCAGTTCCTGTTTCCAACGTGTCCTTAGCTTTGATGTGATGATAGTGAGCCCTTGACCTATTTGGGGTCTTTGGTCCCAGATACTTTGATTCTCCCAGTTCCCCAGTTTGGGCTTTCCTCTCCTTTCTACCTCAAATCTAGAAGTCCCCAAATCCTGTGGATTTGTCCTTCAAAATGCCTCTCAGACTTGTTCCTGAGGCTCCTCCTACCCACACAGTCATGTGTCTCCTCTCATCTCCACCCACTTGGGTCTGTCCTTGGGTCACAGACAGAAGCTCAGTCAGGCCTTTCGACACCACAGACACGTTCGTTCTCTCTCCCTCCACACGAAGCCGAGGCTCCTTGGCTTTCTATTCTGTCCACAGCCTGGCCCTGTGCCTCTCAACTTGGCCCCTTCCTCCTCTAAGTGCCCTCCTGACACCTGGTCCTGCCGCACACCTTTGTGGATTAATTCCTCCTCCCTGGATTGCCCTTCCCAAATCTGGGACAGAGGTGTCCTGGGAGAGAGTCCGCCAGCCTGGTCAGACACGGTCTCCCCCTGTTTGGCCCCCGCGGGCATTAAGGAGGGAGAGGAAGAGGAGGGGGCCACATACCAGGACAACAGGAAGAAGACGAAGAAGGGAATGGACACGGTTAACTGTAGCCAGCGCCACTGGGGGATGGCATAGGCCAGGCCAGGCAGAATGAACTGGCCACAGGTATAGAAGTAACCCATTAAAGTTGACATGATGGCCCGCATCTGGATGGAGACGCACTCGACATCTGCAGGAGGAGCCCAAGGACCAGATTAAGATTGTGCTGGGCCCTGGGCCACCTCCTGATGGAGGGGCACCAGCATCTGCCCACCATCCCATCAGCTGCTTGACCTGAACTTGATCCTAAGGCTTCATCGCCCCTATTTTACAGATGTTGTGACTAAGGCTCAAGAAGGTAGGACTCAAACTTAGGTCTGTCTGACTTCCAAGCCCACACTCTTTTTTTTTTTTAATTATTTTTAAGTAATCTCTATGCCCAGCATGAGGCTCGAATTCACAACCCTGAGATCGAGTCACATGCTCTATCTGCTGAGCCAGCCAGGCACCCCACCCCCCACCTCGAAGCCCACACTCTTGAGTGTCTCTCTAGAGGCAAATGACTTCCCTCATTTTGCTTCAATGTCCTTATCTGTAAAATCAGGACAACAGTGTGGCCTCCTTGTGTGTGTGGACCGAATGGGATGGTGTCCCCCCAAGACTCTCTGGGTGGGGTGGGGTCCTTTTTGTGGATTGCTGTTGTCCTTATGCTCAGAGGGGGCCTCTGAGATCCTGAGAGGGGCAGCACCTTAGGCAACCAAGGTCACAGGGAACCTGTGTTGAGCTAGGCCCTTGGCTTCAGGCTGGGGTCCGCCGACTCCTGCTCCCCTGCTCCTTCCCCCTATGGCTTACTCAAGATGGTGGTACTCAGAACAATGCCTGAGACACTCCAGCCGCTCAGGAAGCGGAAGACCGTGTAGATGGAGAAGTTGGGGCTGAAGGCTGCGCCGGAACCGCTGGCCGCCAGCAGCAGGTAGCTACAGGTCAGGATGGGCTTCCGGCCAAACCTGGAGCTCAGACGAGAGGAAGGACCGTGTTAGCCACGGCAAGCTAGGTGAGACGGGACTCTGCAGGTCTCAGGGCAAAGGGTCAGACCCCCCCACCTCCCCAAGGGCTGGGCAGGGCATGTAATCCCCTCTTTAGACAGGGCCTGACTGGTAATTGCTATTTTGTTGAAGGTTTGCAGTTACAGTTCCAAGTTAATGAGTGATCGCCTCCCCCGCCCCAGCTCAGTGGCCTGAGCAGAGGTCAAGCGACTTCCCATCTCCAAAGAGTCCATGCACCCGCCTCCACGGCCACACAGCCTCTATACCGTGTCCGAAGACCTCGAGGCTTTCCCCCAGGCTCTGAGGAGGTGTGAAGACTCCGGTTGTGAGGGCTTTGGGGCAGAGGGAAGGCTGCACCCCAGCAGGATTGGGACTTGCCCAAGGCCACAGACCAGGGACGGTACTTCCTTCTTCCCCCAGCTCTTTGCCTCTTTGGGGGAAGTGCATAGTGATCAGAGTGAGGTGGGATGCCCCCGTAGGTTGTGCCGCCTCCCCTCCAGGGGGCCCCGTGTCTCACCTGTCTGACAGGTCTCCCAGCACAATCCCCCCAATCAGAGTCCCCGCCATGAAGACAGACTGGGCCACCTCTTTCAGTCTTCTGGAGTCACACACCAAGTCCCACTGCACAGGAGAAAGGTCGTGCCAGCCTGGCTCGGTCCAGACGGGCCCTCCCAGCCAAGCTCTGCCTGAGCCCCACGGTGCCCGCCTGCTCCTGGCGTCCTCACCAGACTTCCCTGAACCTGGACCCCACTCCCAGGCGCTAGCTCTGCGTTCAGCCCAGCCCGGGGCTCCTTGGGTCTGCCTGTGGCTCTTTGGGTTCCTGACCCCTGGGGTGCAATGACAGTTCCTCTCCAGTGTATGTGGCCCATCAGGGGCTTGTAGAATCTGCTTAGCTGTCACTTCCAGGTATGTTCTCAACTCCTGCCCTCGTCCTCTCCAAGATCGCCTGCACCCCGTGCTGCAAGGTCAGGGCCGGCCTGCAGCCTAGCTCTCTCCCTCTCCTCCATGCGGACACTGCTCTACGGTTGACACCTGGCTCCATCCCACATCTGTCTGTGTCTCTGAGCTCTCTCCTTCAGGTCCACATTCACTTTCGGTTCTCCCCTCCCTTCAAAGCGGAATCTTTTGAAAGAGAAGCTATACTTGCTCTCAGCCTGGCCTCATCTTCTGCTCATTGCTCCAGTCCGCCCCGACCACTCCACTGACACTGTGCTCACCAGAGTCGCCCGCGATGTCTTTTTCACTAAGCGCACTGGAACCTTCTCTCTTAAAGATTCCCTAGGGCTCTTTCTGGATCTTTCTCTCTTTTTATCCACTTTCCTGAGTGGAACATCACCTGCTCCTATGGCTTCAGTTTCTATTTTATGAGGAAGACTCCAACCCGTATCTTCAGCCCAACCTCTCTTCTGGCCTTGAGAACAGTCAATTCAACTGTCTTCTTGAAAATTCTACCTGGATGATGTCTCACGGTCACCTCAGAGTCAATAAGACTTGTCACCCACTGTTCTCAGGCGGGGAGCCTATCCTTTGCCTCATCTTCTCCAGTGCATCCCCACGCCATTCTCCAGTTTCTAACTTTTGAATATTTCTGGAATCTGGATTCTTCTATCTCTACTACTATCTTAGTGAAAGATTAATAATAATGGCCGATTTTTATGGAGGGCTTACTATGCACCAGGCACTGCTGTAAGGAAACACTTCCCAAGCTTTAACTTCTTCAATCCCTGCAACAACCTTATAATGGGGCATGACTACTGTCATCATCCCCATTCTATAGATAAAGAGACTGAGGCCTGCTGATGATCACTGTGGTGATCTTCAGACAGGTCTCCCAGCCTTCGATTTCAGCTCCTCCTGTCCTTGCTTCCCCTGTGAACTTGAATGGTTTCCTAAAACCCCTCTCAGGTCAGGTTCCTGTCTTGCCTAAAGGACTCCCTGGCTTCCTCCTGCCCTTTGGGTAAGGAGAAAGCTCTGTTAACACAGATTCAGAAAGCCCTTATGCTCTCGCCTCTGCCTACCTGTCTGGCCTAATCTCTGCTAATCCCCAACACGCACCCTTTGTCTAGCCATCCTGAACTACTTGTGTAATGAAGTGGAGAATTTTATTCAGTAGAAATGCCTCACAAGAATGTTTTGGAAGTGAAACAGTGTGGGCGAGAAACCATACGTCCCAGGGAGCCCTGTCCACATTCCTCTGCTGGAAGTGAGGGGGATGGGGTGGACGAAGACTCCAGGTCAACTGTCTCCAGGCAGCCCAGCATGGCCAGAAAAACCAATGGGCTCTTCTGGCTGAGAAGGGAGGCTGCAGGGTATGTGTGTGGCATGATGGGAGGGTAAAGGGTGAAGGAGGAAGTGAGGGGCGTGAGGAGGAGTACACCAGAGGGTGTCTGGAGAAACTTTTGGTACATTGTGGCATGCTGTGGAAAACTGCTTTAGGAAAATCTGAAGTAAAGACCTAGCACCCAGCTAGTTTCATTCACACCCCCACCCCTTCCACAGTAAGCACATTTCTCAGGTGACCCAGTCTCTGGGTGGGTCATGCTCTTGACAGTGCAATGGAGTGGAAGAAATGCTTATTACTTCCATCTCATTTGATTAAGGGAGAAGCCTTGGTCTGGACTTGAATGCCTCCTCCATTCCTGTTGATGGGAATGGTGACAACTAGAACGACTCAGGAAGTCATGTGTTGAAGATGGCAAAACTGTTGTTAGTCTGGGTCCCTGAATGACCCTATGGGGCAGAGTCACCCATCGACCTGAAATTCCCACCTTAGAACTCTTGCATGAGAAAGAGAACCACGTCTATGACCTACAAGCCATTGAATTATCATTGACTCTTTTGTTACGGCAACATAGTCTATCCTGATACATCCCACCAGAAGTTGCAGATGGAAACTTGATTCCCTCCCCGCAACCTCCATGTTATTTAGTGTCTCAAGAACAAACTTTCTGCTTGGATCCTGAGAGGGTCAATGTCAGACCCATTTGGATTAGTTTAAGGCTGTTGCCCTTCTCTACGGTCTGAGACCAGATCTGCCACGTCTTGGTTTCTACCATACTACTTGTGGTGAGGTATGCATTAGAATAACGGTAACGAGCCAGTTTCTACTTGAAAGCTGAGCCATGTAAGGAAATACCATTCCTAGAATGGGCTTTGACTCATGTTTAAAACAAGCCCAAATCCTTATAATGGCCCATAAATCGCTGCAGGATGAGCAGACTTATCCCTGTTCCCTCTCTGCTCTCATTGGCTACTACATGTCCTCCACGAACTACACTGGAGTTGGTCTTCCTGCTGTTCCTCAAACATCTCAGGCACCTCAGAATCTTGGCATATGGCATTTTCTCCGCCTGGAAAGTTCTCCCTTCAGAGAGCCACTTGACTTGCTCCTCCACTTCTCACAGATCTTTGCGCAAACATCATCTTCTCAACGAGATCCTCCTTGGCCACCCTATTTATTTATTTATTTATTTTTAAAAAGATTTTGTTTATTTATTTATTTGACAGACAGAGATCACAAGTAGGCAGAGAGGCAGGCAGAGAGAGAGAGGAGGAAGCAGGTTCCCCGCTGAGCAGAGAGCCCGATATGGGGCTCAATCCCAGGACCCCGGGATCATGACCTGAGCCGAAGGCAGAGGCTTTAACCCACTGAGCCACCCAGGCGCCCCTGACCACCCTATTTAAAATCGTAACTCCTAGTCTACATTACTCCACCCCGCTTTATTTTCTCGATAGCATTTGTACCATGAGCTATACCACATAGTTCCTTTTTGTATGTTTGTTTCTCCCTCAAGACCGTCATCTTGTTAAGGGTACAGTGTTTCGTCTGTTTTGGTCACAACTATACTTCCCTTGCTTAGCACGGTGCCTGGCACATAGTAGGCATTCAGTAAATACTGGTGGGATTGAAGGAGTGAGCATTCTACAGGAAGAACAGAGAGAGGGAGAACTTTAGTGGTTAAGATATGCTGATGTCGAAATGAGAGGTCATATGGTCCACACTCCAGATACCACCTGGAGGAGAGTTTTGCTTTGCCACAATGAGCGTATGTCAGGAAGGAGAGTGTCTGGGCTATAAACATAGGATGTATAATGACATGTCAGCAGGAAGGACTGAAAAACTTCGCAATCAGGCTGGAAAAACGTCGATGGCAAACTGTCTACTAGGGAATGGTGAAATGAGGGTTTAAAGCTTAGAACAAGAGCTTTGTGGTTAGACATTAAAAAAATCTTGGGTTTCAAATGCACACTTAGTTCTTCCCAGAGATTTCATGGTTAATAAAACTCATCGGAGTTGATGATAAAACTGTGGCCAGGGTTGCCCTGCAGATCAGCACAAATCCATGCGGCTCGGATATGGAATGTGTAACTGCTATGGGTTGAATCGTGTCCCGCGGAAAGTTAGTCTGGAGTTCTAACCCCTAGTGCCTCAGCATGTGACCTTATTTGAAAATCACATTGTGGCAGATATAATTAGTGAAGATGAGGCCATCTTGAGGTAGATCTGGGCCCTTAACCCTCTGTGACTGGTGTTCTTGTAAGAAGAGAAGTTGCAGACACATAGGGAGGACGTCTTGGACAATGGAAGCAGAGATTGGATAAGCCAAGGGACACCAAGCTTCACGGACAATCATCAGAAATTAGAAGAGGCAAGAAAGGTTCCTCCCTAGAGCCTTGGGAGAGAGCATCCCTACACCTTGATTTTGGACTTCTGGTCTCCAGAGCTGTGAGACAATAGATTTCTGTTATTTTAAGCCACCCTGTTTGTGGTACTTTGATATGGAAATTCTACGAAACAGATACACTGTGTGATTCCTGCATGTTTGAAGTACCTGTGGGCTTGGTAGGTGGTGATGGGAAGGGGATTGGGGATGGAAGAGTCTGGCCATGAGGGAACCAGAAATAGAGAGAACTGGAGAGATTTTTAAAGGCATCCTGGAATTCTGGGGGGAGGGAAGATACCTAGAGACATTTGGGGCATGCTTCTGTGTGGTTAGCTGTATAAGACCCTTGAGAAGGCTGAAGGCTTGGTTAGTCTCAAAGGGGTTGAGGGTGTGTGGTTTATGTTCCTTTGACTTTGACTCCATGCACAGGTTGGGCCACATGTGGTCTGTGGTTTTAGTTGGGTTACACCGTGTGTGTTCCTCTCTGCCTTTGAGCTTGTCATCATGTCTTTGTTCTCGTCGTGTTGCCAGACCTTCAGGCACTGGTGACAGGACAGGAAAACTCAAGGCCCAGAGAGCAATCGGAGGGGCCCACTTGGACCCCCAGACTGAGCTGGGCACCCACAGGACCGAGGTTCAGTAGTGTGGGAGCTGCGGGCCACAGCTCCCCTCCAGGGAACCCAGAGCCCACAATCCATGCTCCCCACACTTGCCAGACTTGAAAGAAAGGCCTTTGTTTTCTCTTAATGTCCTAGTAAAGCTCTTTCTGAAAAATTCCAACCTTATCTCTGCGGAACTCAGAGAAAGGAATGTGTGGTCGCCTCTGCCAGGAAGGCTTAGGGGATCAGCGGGTGAGGGAGACTCCCTCCACTCTGACTGGACCCTGCCCTGTGCTCACTCCCATTCTGGCCAACAGTCCTCCCCACCTGTGCCTCCTCCTCTGGGAGGGAAATTTCTTGTTATCTTGTTATACAGATGCAGGAACTGAGGCAGAGAGGGGGGCTGATGCCCTAAGTCACTGGCTATGAGAGTGGAGTGGGGACCCACAACCAGGCTTGCTGTTTCCATGAGGGGAGGGCTCAGTGAAAGCCGTGGAGTGTGGCTAAGCCGCCCAGGGGAGCTGGGAATTGCTGTGACAGCTGATTCCTCTTTTCCTGGAGGTCCCCCTGCTCTTCTGGTGGGGACAACCTTTCTAATCTCAGGACACCTCTATTAACCATAATAGTGAGGGCAACAGCCACAGAGGCCACAGACATTAGCTGAAGGCTCCACAGGGGCCTTGTGTGGTCTCCTGTCGGGCTCACCCTCGCTCTGTTCTTCCGTTTTACGGATGAGCAAACTGAGACTTCTGGCCTCATGAGATTCCTAGTACAGGGCAGAGTCAGGATGTGAACTCTGTTGCTTGACCCTGGATCACGAGCACACGCTGTTGGTCAGGGGGGTAGCCCCTGGCCTCCACTAACTAGGGTCACTGAGTCAGGTGCCAGGTGCCACACACCCTTATTACCACCTTCCGCGCTGGGGCTGGCACATCCAGACCCTGCCTCCGCTCCAGAGACCCACCTCTAGGTAAGGCCCGGCCACGGTTTTATCCCTGCCCCATGGGGAACTGAACCCTGCTCGCCCCACCGCAGGCAGGTGGAGGACGGATTTGCCCCAGATCGAGCTGCCAACAGAAAAATCACTGTGCTGGTAACCAGCAAATCGCTGGGTCTGGCCACTGACATTTTCCCAGCTGGGCAGGGACCCCTTGCTGAGCCAGGAAGCTAGGCCCACCCAGAAAAGGGTACAGTACCCTGAGGACTGGTGAACCCCTGCATTTGTCGGGATGCAGATCCCCCCCTTCCCCCCAAGGGCTGGAATGGTGTCTGGGCACTTGGCTGGCACAGACGTTAACGGACCCTTGACCAAGGACAAGACCTGCAACCTCTGTTCTTGGCCAGGCTCCTTGGAGGGGAAGCCACTTGCCAGCAGTCAGCAGGATCCAAAACCCCCTGAGGGCCTCTGCCAGGCTCGGCCTTGGCCTTCGTTCAGCATCCGCTGAGCCCTTCCTGTGCTCCTGGCGCAGGGATGCGAAAGATGGGTTGGAGGGGCGCCTAGGTGGCACCGTAGGTTAAGCGTCTGAGTCTTGGTTTCTGTTCAGGTTGTGATCTCAGGGTTGTGAGATCCAGCCCTACGTTGGGCTCTGCACTCAGCCTAGAGTCTGCTTGAGTTTCTCTTTCCTTCTCCCTCTGCCCCTCCCAATCATGTTCTTTCTCAAAATAAATAAATCTTAAGGGGAAAAAAAAAGGTGGGGTGGGGACCTACCTTCCCTGTCCAGGAGGAAGCCACCAGCCAGGGAGGGAGCTCTGTGAACAGCAGCCTCCTGGGGCCACAGGGTGCTCGGTCAGAGGGACCGAATGTGGGTGGGGTTATGCAGCCTGAAGGAGCCCCATTGCCTGCCCTGCTTCATGTCCCAGCTCCACCATTGATGAAACGTGGTGGTGCCGTAGGCCAGGGGGCCTCGACCTGTGCCTTTGTTTCCTCATCTGTACTAATGGGACAATTAAGGTGCCAGCCTCAGGGTTGTTGTGAAGATTGAAGGGGTTAATAAAGGCCAGCCCTGGGGCATGGGGAAAGCCCACAGTCAGGTGTAGCGGTGATGGTTATGTCACTGCTTCCTGCCTGATTGTTGTCTCTCCAGCTAGCTTCCGTGTTTTCAGAGGACAGACAGGGATGGTGGCTTTCACTCCTCCTCTCTGATTTCCCGGGGGCCAGCTATACAGCAAGTCGCCCATACATTTGGAAATTTTATAGTATTGAGGCATCTTTGACGCCCTCCCCGCTCCTCACCTCCACGTCCATTGCGTCCCCAAGTCCCATGGATTCTGACTCCCTAAACTCTCTGGTATTTATTCCCACTGTCCCTTCCACTTGTCCTCATTTCCCTGGATCCTTGTGGTGAACTGCTAACTGGTCTTCCAACCTGTAGACTAGAACTCTCCACCAGACACTCTCCGTCCTACCGTCAGAGGGAGGGTGATCTGAACACACCCCTCTATTGCTCAACAGCCTTCGAGGGCTCTCTGCGGTCTTGGGACAGAGGCTACACCCTCTCCTTAGCATCCAAGCCGGGCGGCCTCTTCTCCAGCCCCATGTCTGGTGGCCTCCACGCTCCACAGCTCGCGCCTCTAGCCTTCCCCTGTCTCTTGCTATCCTGACCGCTTTGTTCTTATCCTGCTCCTGTGACCAAGCGTTTGACCCCCCCACACTGTTGCTTTGGCCTGGGGCACGCTTGCCCACTTCAACCTGCCTGCTTCCTCTCTCCTGGTCACACCCAGGGTGGTTTCGCTAACTCCAACTGGCCCTCCTGGGCCCCCCAGCCCCCTCTGGGCCAGGCTCCGTTCTAGCTGCTGGGGATAGAGGGAAGCAGCTAGAAATCTCTGTCCCAGGAAGCTTGCGTGTTGCATGCACGGCCAGGGTCCTCGAGGGGTGGCTCTGTCTCTTGCCAGAGGTGAGTTCCTGGAGGGCAGGAGGGAGCAGGTGGACTGTGACTCTTTGTCCTCAACAGTAGGCATATAGTTTTTAGTAAGTGTTTGTTTGCTGCATTTCAGGCACTGAGCTTGGCCCAGGGGAGAAAAAGCAACTATAATATGACCCAAGGTTAGGAGAGTCAGCAAGTGTCATAGCTCGGAGCATGGCTCTGGGGCCAGAAGCCCGTGTTAGGATACTGAATCTGCCCCTTTGCTCGTGGCGTGAACTTGAGCTCCTTAACCTCCAGGCTTCGGCTTTCCCATCCCATCTGAGAAATGAGCTTATACCTTAAACTACCTTACAGCGCTGTCAGCAAGGTTAGAAGTGTTAATATCTCTCAAGTGCTTGGAACAGGGCCTGGCATGTAGTAAGCGCTTTCTGTATACATAAATATTCACGGAACACATGAAAACCAGTTATACAGACTAGGAAGTTAGAGAGTCTTGGGTTCAGATCCCACCTCTGCCAGGTCCTAAGCACAGGTATTCCTGGGAAAGTTGTGAACAAGGCTCCCTGTGCTGTCGCCTGGGATTCCGGGAGCCTCACCTATAGCACGCCTAGCAGAGAACCGGCGCAGGGCACACCGTTGGAAATGCAGCTCTCCGATGAAGCAAATGCAACATCCTGACTCTCAAGGGAGGAGAATGAAAACAGTGGCCTCTCTGTTCAGGGCTCAGGTGCCACGCCCCCTCCGGGAAGCCTCCTGGGAATCCCACTAGAATCCCGAAGTTCCTCCCTCCTTCCTCCTTCCTCCTTCCAACCACCGTGAACCCCTATCCCCCTCTGTGCCTCTTAGGGGCGGGCGTTTGCCTTAAATCCCAGTCCCAAAACCGACCAGCTGTGTGATACTGGACCCTCACTTCCCTTCTCTGAGTTTTGGTCTTTTTGATCTGTAAAAGGAGCAAAAATCACGTTCGACAAGATATCACGGTGAGAATCACAACGTCTGCAAAGCACCAAAATGTGCCTGGCGGTTTGCAGATCCTCCCCAAATGCCCGTTCCTGGTTCTTCTCCCCGCCTCCCCGCACCACGGTCTCCTGACTAGCCTGTCAGTTCAGCTGAGGGCGGAGGGCCGGACGTACCTCTGTATCTCTGTCACTCCCGGGTGGGCAGGTCATAGAATCAGGAAAGAAGTTAAGGGTTGAACACATGGGAGGTGAACCCAGGCGTAACTCGTGGCGGGAGGGGGGCGGTTGGGAGGTCTGTTCGGGTAACCCTGCCACCTTGGGCCCTGCTCCCTCCTCCACACACCCTCCCATCTTGGGACCTTCACACAAGATGCAATTTCCTTCCTTTTTCTTGTTGCCTGGTGAACTCTCAAAGGACATTAGCTCAGCTTGAGGGTCACTTCTTCAGGGAACTGTCCCCCTGGGACTGCCCCCCCCCCACATCCTCATGCCACACACACCCCCTCCGGCCCCCATGTCCAGCCCTAGGCAGCCCTAGTCTAAGGTCACAGCCCTAAGTACTCTGAGGTTGTAAATTTACATTTCTTTATGGGGTCCTTTCCTCGGGTGATATCCTGCAGGGCTGAGGACCCTGGGTAGCAGGGACAGTGCATTTCTGTATCCTCAGAGCTTAGCACTGTGTCTGCTCCAGAAATGGGCTGGCGACTCGGAACGTGAAGAAACCAAACTTTCTGGTTCGTTGGCATCTGCACCCAGGTCCTTCCTCTCTGCTTGCCCAGCGCCCCGGCCTCCGGTCCCAGCCCCAGGGAGACTAGAGCCCAGACTCTTCTCCTGTCCCCGAGTGAGTGGAGGAAGAAGGGCCCCCCCTCTGTGCATACCTCGGTCACAATGGAGTCCACGGTGTGGAGGTCATAGACCCAGCCGTCCAGGCATGGCTCGGTGGCCCCCTGGGTGTTGTTGGGCAGGCTGGTGTTGGGTGTATATATGAAACGGAGGCACGTCTCAGGCTTCCCATCCAGGCCCTTGGGGAGCCCCCAGGGCCCGGCGGAGGTGTTGGGGGGCAGGCGACAGTGGTGGGGCGGCGTAGCAGCTGTGAAGATCTGCAGCAGGTAGTGGTTGGCCAGGCCCAGGACTGGAAGGCCCAGCAAGACCATGTTCAGGAACTGGAAGGTGCCCTTGCTGCCCACTCGATCCATGAGCTCGGAGAAGGCCATGGCGGATGAAAAAGAGCTGCAGGATGAAACAGCTGCAGGAAGGCACCTGGCCAGGGAGAGGTGAGTACGCACTTGAGTTTGGTGTGCCTATGTGGGAGCACCGTGGGACAGTGGGCCAGATGCACGTGTGAGCACAGGTGCACGGAACAGCATGCATATAAACATGTACGGATGTGGGGCTCAGGTGTGTGTATCCACACTTGGATACGTGAGGACACACCCAGCGGTGTGTCCAGGCACAGGACCGCAGGTGTGGCATGTGTCCAGGTGTGTGTGTCCATGGGGTGTCTGCTGTGATGTGTGTCTTGAGGCTGGAGTGGAAGGCGCAGCTGTGGGAGCATGGGCGTGTGGCTATGTGTGTGAGTTTGCCTGTGCTCCGCGAGGCTGCTCACACACGCCACATGCACGTGTGGCACAGGACAGCTGGGACCCCAGGGCCCTGGCCATGGACATTGGCAACAGGGGCCAGATGGTGGTGGTGGTGGGAGGTGGGGAGGTCCCTGCTCACCCTGAGCGGACACAGGCTTGGAAGAGCCCAGGTCGCCTGCTGGGAAAGTCTCCCCAAGTCCCAAGCCTTCTGGCTCTCTGCTGTCCTCTGGGCCTGGGTCCACCAGACTGGGGCAGTGGAAGGAGTCCCAGGCAGGTCCCAGAGGGCATAAGGGGCTCGGCCAGTTGCAGAAAGGAAGCAAGACCAGATCCTGGGGTCTTCTCAGGGGCCTATGCGGGCCGGAGCTTGGGCGGGGGTCCCCATTCCTCCTTACCTGGTAGCTGGTAGGGGCCCAGGTCCCTCTGCTGGGGCCGGCGGTAGAATGTGGCCGAAGCCCAGGGTCCAGCAGCAGCTCCTGCAGTTGGGGCAGCTCAGCTCCAAGGAGCTGTTTTTGTGCCTGCCCCCAGGGGGACTTATATAAGGCATAAGTTCCCCAGGCTAATGTTTGACTTTCTTCTGAGTATTAATGGTGCTGGCATGGGAGGGCGCTGTGGACACACCGGGCCCTGCCGTCTTCAAAGGGCTGCCTCAGCAAAGGCTGGCCGCTGGTGTGGCTGAGCCCAGCAGGGGTGCTGGCCAGACTGAGGGGTAGGTGGTTAGGGCAGGCTGGCCTGAGGATAGTCTGGGAGGGGGTCTGGTCTGAGTCCTGAGGGCCCTGGGTCATCTCTGTGCGGAGGGTCTGTGGGATAGCTCTGAGAGGGGTGTTGTGTGTGTGGGCAGAAGACATTCTGCCGGGCATCACTTCCCCTGCCTGCTGCCTCCCTAGAAGGGGCCTAGAGACTTGTCCCCTGGGAAATGGTAGGGCGGGTCCAACAGAAAGTGGCATGGCTGTCTGTCCCTGAGGGCTCCATCTGTGATCCGCTGGGCTCCTTGGCAGCCAGGGCTCCCTTGTCTGAGTCCCAGGCTCAGGGGAACAGCCCCCTTCCTTCTCCACTCTCCACGGACAGGCTCCTCTTCCGATCAGCTGCATCCCTTTGGGGACAAATCATGGTCCCTGGTGTTTTGTTCTTTTCTCTGAATTATTGTAATTCTCTAATAATGTTTTACTCGCATAAAACATGGAGAACACAAATAGGCCAAACAAAACAAAATACCCAGCCTCACCTGAGAGCCAACCCTGTGTGCTTTCTGATGTATGTTCTTCCGGACCTTTCTTCTGCAGGGACTGTGGTCTGACCCTCATGCTTCAGCAGCTGGCAGGAGGCTCAGGTAACCTCATGGCCTCATTACTACTCCAAGCATTATAAATTAGGAGACTAAGAAACAGAGAGGTTAAGTAACTTGCTCACGGTCTCCCAGCCGGGGAGGACAGGGACGGGTGGACCCAACGTCTGCAGAGTCCGTGGGCTCTCTCCCTTAGCAGCGTCACCTTGGCTGGCTTTCAGTGTCCCTCCTGCGTGCTTTTACCTCTCTGGTTCTACCTGCAGGGACTCTGGGGAGCAGCCCCGTCCTATCTGCTCTGGGGGGCTAGGGAGGGGCCCACCTAGGGCTCCCCTTCTTGGCTGGGGAGGAGTCGGTCCCCTTCTCCACCCAGGCAACATCCAGCTCCCTGGCTCAGGCTGGCCTCCGCCCCTGAAGTCTCTCCCAGCCCCTCACCACCACCCCCTCCAGGGTGGGGTCAGCCGCTGGGGCTCTGCTCCCCACCTGGACCCAGCGGTAATTGATGTCTTCAGAGTGGCCTGAGGCAGGGCGAGATCCGGAGTCATCAAAGGAAGATTAAATTATGCTCCGAAGCAGCCAAGGGGTTGTTTTAGGAAGGTTTTCGACTGCGAAGCTTGCAGAGAGCTGAGCCGCCGCTCGAGCCCCCCTGTTCCCGGGGTTCGCCCCCCTGTGAGATTTGCTGGTGCCTAATAGGGCCTGGGTTATCCGTCTGTTCCTGTCCTAGCGGAATGTTGGCTAAAGGAGCCTGGTGACTTCCCGTGGAGGCTGCTGGAGGTGAGCCAGAGTACAGATGTGCAAGCCCAGCTTGGGGGGGGGCGGTCCGAGCCCCCAGGGAATGTGCCTGGATTCACGTATCTGGACTGAGGCCTTCTCTTAGGCCCCCAGGGACTGTGTCATGAACTTGCTGGGTGATCTTGGGCAAGTCACCTCCCTCTGGGCCTCTCATTTCTCCTCATTAGTTAAGTGGCTTACACACACTCTCCAGAAATCTTTTATTCAAATAGTATATTGGGTTTGTAAGATCAATACATAAGGCAGAGGTGAGAGGAGGGAAGGTAGAGAGAAAGCGGCCCCTCCATCCCCTGCGCCCGCCCCGGCTCACCCTTTCCTTTGGCATCTTCTGACCCCGGCCGGCTCTGCTAGAAGCATCTCCGTTACATTACAGGATCCATCACTCACTCTTGCCTTGCTGTGATACTAAATCGAATATGTTGAAATTAACTTTTTTTTTTTTTTAAAGAAACGATGCATCCGGGAAATCTTACATGCTAAATGCATTTTTAGCTTCGGATATGGAAATGCAGTTTTCTTCCTCCCTCCTTCCCTCCCTTCCTTCCCTCTCGCTTCTTTCCTTTTCCCTTTTGTCCCTTCATCTCTTGTCTGAACCCATCCCGCTGTCCTTTGAGCCGCACGGGGCTCAGTCAGTGACACCCTTCCCTGCTGGGCCCCAGCATAGGCATGTGTCTTCAGCTGGAGGGGCCCAAAGAATCATCAAGTTCAAGTCCAATGTCCTTACCTTACACGCACGGAGACCAAGGTTCACCGAAGGTTCAGCGTACTTCTCCGCATGGTGCTGTCTTTCTAAATCTTCAGTTCAGGGAAGCAGAGGACACGCCATGACAAGTGAAAACAGGGACATCTTACTCTGCGGGGAACAGTGGGGAGTCTAGGTGTCCTGGCCAATTACGGGGACCACAGTGAACTTTCTGGGGGCCATCTACTCTTACCCACTCACCTGTTCATTTGTTTGTTCATCTCACCATCCATCCGTCTGTCCATCTGTCCAACCGTCCCTCCAACCTTCCAACGAACTTCATGCCGTGTATGTATGAGGCCCCATGCTAGGCCCCAACCCTCCTGTCTGCTGTCAGAGAAAACAGCAGCCCAGAAACAATGACAGCATGCAGGGGATTGGCCTCAATGCTACAGGAGAGGTCCATGGGGTTCTAGTCCTTTCCAGAGAGGGAAAGAATGATTAGGTTTGATGGATTGGATTACTGTGGATTGTCCGGAGAAGGTGGTGGTTTTTACACTGGGTTTGGACGATGGGGTGGTAGAATCGGGGAGACACCAGCAGACCCAGGGGTGTGAGTGCAGGCATGTTTGGGGAAATGGGAGGTGAGTTGGATAAGCAGTATGGACAGAAACCTTTTTCCCACCTCAGTGGTGGCCTTGGTTCCAGGGGCTGGGAAAGAGCTGTGATAGTCTCAGAGGGGCGGATGATTCTCTGGGCTTCTCTGTCCCTGTGCAGGTGGGGGTGGGGAAGATCTTGAGGCTTGTGGGTCACCAATGGAGTCATGTTCAGTGGTGCCTAAATTCACTGTGTGGAGTCTGGGCCTCTTGGCCCTCATAAAGGTCCCATCCGGTTGGGTGGGTCATTCGAGCCTTTTAGGTGAGGGTGCCTCCTGGCCATCATGGAGGGTGCCTCCTTGAACCCATCATGGGTTCAAGAAGTCAGAAGCTACAGCATGTTTGGGGCCTGTCTTGCTGCTCAGACTGTGGCCCTAGGCGGGGATGGAGAGATGTTCACTAAATTCTCAAAGGCCAAGAGCTATTCCTAAGGCTTCATCACTGGCTTATAGGCCCCAGATTCAGTCCCTGTCCTTGGGTGGCTCTTAACAGATTAGGTGTCCGGTATGGATCTGAACAAAGGATTGTCCTCTGCCCTCAAACCCTAACCAGTCCCTCCTTCCCCTCCATTTATTCTAAAATTTCCTTCACTAGGAGCAAGGCCATCCAGGAAAGAGGGGTCTTACATGCTTGAATTGGAATCTTGCTAGTTCCGTGGCCTTGGGGGGTTGTGTCGCCTGGTTAAACTTTAGTTTTCCCACCTGTAAAATGGGGATTAATTCTTACCTTATAGGATTGTGGGGAATTTAAATAAAATATATAAAACCCTGAACCCAGTGCCAAGCACGCAGTATATAAAACACTGAATTGGAGGGTCAGTCCCAAGGGAAGGGGCTTCGGGAAGCCTAAGTGGTCCCAGAAGAAGAGGAGGGAGAGGAGTGGTTGCTAGGAGAAGGGATCCCGGGAGGGGTGCCCTTTGGCCCTGGGGGTCGCAGGTTGGAAGGGCTTCTAGATGGCAGCGGGGAGGGTGGGGGCTCCTGAGGCTGTCCTTGGGCACCTGGAGTATATCCTGGCCCAGCCAGTCACTGCCGAGCCCGTCATGTTGCCAGGCAGGCTGGGCCTCAGCTGTTACCCCAAGTAGGAAAGGTCAGGGACACAGCTCCTAGGATGGTGGAAGGACTCTGCGCCCGGAGCCCCCAGCCCAGGGCAGGCCAGCAGTGGCGCTCCCTGCTGGTGCATATCAGGAACTGTATCTCTCACCTCCAGGGCATGGCCAAGGAGTTCCGGAGCCCACCTGCCCGCTGAACCCAGCACAGAGCACGGATTTCTGCGGATCTGGAAACCCCCACACTGGCCCACTGCTCTAAGAACCTGAGGGAGGGGAACCCCTGGTTACAGGCTGATTCAGCAGACGTCTCAGTCCCCATGTCCCCGGCACTGCTTTCTGCTCGTGAAATGCCTTAAACCAGAGCTGGCCAACGCAGATGCCCACGGGGCCAGGTGATGTGGATGAGCGGGGTGGGCTAGGTGTGGGCAATGGCGAGTGGCCCCGTGCGCCCGAAGGTGCAGAGCGCATGTCCAGTCTCAAGGGGGCAGCGGTGCTCAGCACCAGCTGGTGTTGCCATGGGAATAGGCAGGCTTGGGGTTGCCAGAGCTTCAGATATTTTAAAAATAGCTTGAAATCTGGACTTTGTGAAATTTTCCAATTGTGTAGGCGACCCCTCCTCCCACCTTCTGGAATCCCTTTGTCTTTTCTGCCTCTACCACCTATCGGAGTCACAGACTCCATCCAGTGATTCCTTGTAGAACAAGGTAGGATTTCCTCGGGGCTGTCCTCACATATGCTCCCTGCCGGACCTCAGGGTTTGGTGAGAAGGGCTGTCAGGTGTTGGTTCATCCGGCAAACACATATCCAGCACCTGCTTGGCGCTGGGTCTGGCGCAGAAACGTGCGGAGGACGGGAGAAGTGAAAAAGACACAGAGCGTGGCCTGGGAGGGCCACGGAGCGCTGGAAGGAGAGTGGAGGGGACAGGTGTCTGTGGAGCCTGTGCCAGGGGCCAGGCACCCTGAGGACACTGTCCCACGTGCTTCCCCACCAAGGCCTCATATCAGAGCGGTGGTTCCCTGTCTGCAGTCAGCCATGACAGGGGTGGGTGGCTTTGGCTCCACGCTGCGTTCATGTTCTTTTATTGTCTTTACACTCACTGTTCCCAAGGCCAGCTCTTCCTCTGCTCTCAGATGTCCCCTCCTCACAGAGGCCTTCCAGGATGGTAGAGAAGGGTCCCCAGCTCTAGGAAGACATTCTCTAACAGGCTCCATGTGTCACTGCCCGGAACTGCGTACTTGCTTGCCTCTACCTCTCCTGCCCCCCAACCAGGAGGCTGTGAGGGCAGGGCCTGGCTCTGACCTGTTCACTGCCAGAGTGGGCTTATGGTAGGAGCTCACTGAGTTCAAGCACAGCAGGTCCTGCTCTGTCCACAAGCACCTTCCCCCGCCATCTCTTTTCAGGAAGCAGTGTCCGCGGGGGCAGTTCTCAGCCCTGGACCCCATCTGCCTGGCCCTAGTGCCTTCACTTGCAAAATGGGCAGAAGGATACTAGTTCTAATGTTATGGGGCTGGGAGGAGGGCAGGTGTGCGTAGGTCTGACCCCTGTGTGTGTGTGTGGGGTGGGTGGCCCTGGGTCCTGGCTGGGAGCTTGGAGCCCATCTCACAACTCCCCCTCCCCCAGCAGCACAGCGCATTTTTCCACTTGCCTTGTTTCCTGCCACAGGCCTGCTCTGCCGTTGACCTCCCTGCACTTGGCAGAGACGCTGAGGGAAAAAGATGGGCTGAGGCTCCCGGAGCAGACTGTGCGGGAGAGAAGAAGCCACAGATGCAAGGAGGGGGGAGGGATGTTCGGAGCCTGAGAAATCCCAAAGCCACTGCCTACTCTTGGTCCCTGGGCTTCCAGTCTCCCCCTGGGGGGATGAATCTTCACCATGGTGTGGGCAAGGGCTCCTGCCCGTAGAGGGAGTGGTCTTGGGGACTGGTTTGTTGGTCAGAGAGGCCAACAAGCAGACATGTAGCCGCCTGGACAGGGGAGGCAGCCTGGAGCTGGAGGCTGCACAGGGGTGCGGGGAGAATGGTCCTGTGATTTCCAGTCAGGTGCCTTGTATCTGATGATTGTACAGGGCATGGGACCATAGACGGCTGTCTTTCTGGGGTACGGGGGCAGTGGTGGCCTCCCCGGGGTCGGGTCAACACCAGTGCTGTTGATGAAATGCAGCTGGTTAAGTTTCTCAGACTCGTAGAGGACTCAAAGCTGAGATTTAAGGTATTTAAGTAGGAGAACGGAATCAGAATCCAAAGGGATTGGAGGGGTGAGTGCTGGGCCTGCCGCTTTCTAGGTATGCCCGAACATCAACTTTCGGAACACTGGCTTCCCCATCTGCAAAATGGGGGCAACGTCACCTCTCTGCTGGTGCCGTGAAGGTCGGTGAGACGACCTGTACGTGGCAGCCAGCTCGTGTTGGGGTACGGGATGGCTGCGGCTTTGTCTAGTGACAGTGGGAGCTCCTTGGGGCCAGGGGACTCGTCTTTCAGTGCTGTGTCCCCAGTGCCTGGTACGGCGTGGGCACCGAACAAATGTTTGTCAGATGAACGAACAAGATGAAATTTGACAGGGATAAATGTCAGTTCCTGGACTCGGATCCAAAGACCCAGCTGCACAGAGATGCGGTGGGGGGCGGGGGGTGGGGAGAAATGGCTCAGCCATCAACAGCACATTCGAGAAAAGTCGAAGGATTTAAGCAGGCAGAGATATTGGTCAGTATGAGGTGGCCTAACAAAAAACCAGGCAGGGTGAACTCGGGTAGCATCACAAGAGGCCCAGGGCTCAGAAGGAGGGAGGCCATTGTGGTCAGACCAGCCTCCAGAGCCCTATACCATTCTGCATTCCCCCTGTGGTGTGCTTGCAGGAATCAGGGCACTGAGCTTGGACAAGGGAAGTGCCCAGAGTCACAGGGTGACGCTCAGAGCTTGCCTGTTCCACCCGCGTGGGCGACCAGCCCGGGACTCCAAGCCTCAGTTTCCTTGTTGGGAAAGTGTGCCCGCCACAGGCTGGAGCTCACTTGGCTGCTGGGGAAGAGCAGGAATGGGGGTCCGAGTCTCGCTGGACTCACTCCCCCACACCTGCCCCGCTGATCTCAGCACCAGGGTTGTTCACACGGGAGGACAACGGGAGGGCAGGTTGCGGGCGTCGGCACCTGTCTCTTGTGCCCTTGGAGAGTATTACAGGGCGGCCCCTCCCACCCTGACCTCCTCACTTTCCTCCTTTTGAGGCTGATCCTGGAGTCCAGCCACTTTACCCGCAGCCAGCTTCCTTCTCGTCAGCATGTTTTGGGTGTAGGACTGTGTGTGCAAAAAGCCTGGGCTCCGCGTTCCTCTTCCGCCCACCAACCGCGCTGTGCACCTGCCGCGAGCCTGCCTGGGGGCCCGGTGCGCCCTCTGGTGGCCTCAGGGGGCACTGCGCGGGGCTCTGCGGGAGGTCTTGGAGCGGAGCCCACCAGAACCACGCTGCAACTCAGACAACCTGGTAAAAATCCTGGACGCTGTCAACAGATGAATGGATAAATACAATGTGGTATATACACGCAACGGAACATTATTCAGCCTTAAAAAGGAATGGAATTCTGATACATGCTGGAACATGAGTGAGCCCTGAAAACATGCTTAGTGAAGATCAGACACAAAACAACAAGTATTGTATGAGTCCACGTATAGAAGATATCTAGAACGGGCAGATTCATAGGTATAAAAAGTAGAGTAGAGGTAACCAGGGACTGGGTGGGGGGAATGGGGAGCTATCGTTAATGTGTCCGGAGCTTCTGTGTGTGATTACGAGAAAATTTTGGAAATGAATGGTGGTGACGGTCACACAACATTGGGAAGGTACTTAATGCCACTGAATTGTACACCTAAAAATGGTTAGAAATTTATGTTATATCTGTTTTATCACAATTTAAAAAGTACCGAGAAAAACCCTGGACCTGCCACTTAAAAGCTGCGTGAACTTGGTTAAGTCACTTCACTTCTTTGAGCCTCCGTGTCCCCATCAATACTACCTATGTCATGGCCACCACCCTGGTGCAAGCCAGCCCTTCCCTCGCCTGGAGGATTGCGAACAGCCTTCGTGATGGTTTCCAGGTTTCCCTCTTGGGCTTCTTACCCAAGTCTTTTTTTTTCTTTTTAAAAAGATTTTATTTATTTATTTGACACAGAGAGAGACACATAGAGAGAGGGATCACAAGCAGGAGGAGTGGGAGAGGGAGAAGCAGGCTTCCCGATAAGCAGGGATCCTGGGATCATGACCCCAGCTGAAGGCAGATGCTTAACAACTGTCACCCAGGTGCCCCATCCTACCCAAATCTTTTCCAACTAAGGTGCAGGATATCTAAAACTATAAACCAGATCAAGTCCCTTGCCCGCTTAAAAATTCTCCCCAGACTCCTCCTGTTGGCTGACAGATCTGGGTGGCGACCCCTCTCCTCTCTCAGCACTTCCTGTCCCCCCTTGTTCCCGAGCTGTCACTCCATGCTCCTTCCTGCCCCCAGGCCTCTGGCCTTGCTGGTTACTTTGCCTCGAACACGGATCTCCAGATTGTCTTGTTTTGCTGACTGCTTGTCACTGGGGTCTCAGCTCATATGTGGCATCGCTCTGTACCACCCACTCCAATGTTGCCTCGCCTCCCAGTCTTATCGCGTGTATCCTGCTTTATTTCCTTTCTCTGTAACAGCAGCCATCATCTGAAATCGTCTTATCTTCTTTATGGAGCTTGTTTATTCAACTGGCTGGATTTCATAGGGTGCAAGCGGGAAACAGTTCAATTTTTCTTACCCCACTGCCCTAGCACATGGTTCGTCTCTTCTCTCTTCCCCCTCCTTGAAAATATTTCAGGGGCGCCTGGCTGGCTTGGTCGGTAGAGTGTAGGACTCCTGATCTTGGGGTTGTGAGTTCGAGCCCTACGTTGGGTGGAGAGATTACTTAAAACTAAAATCTGTAAAAAAAAAAAAAAAGAGAGAGAGAGGAAAAAAACATTTCAACTAAGTGTAGCTTTATCCATTTCCTTCTGATATTAGAACAATTTCAATTTCTGGCATCAAAAATTCTGATTCTTTTAGGAGATGTACGTTGAAGGATTTAGGAGTGTGCTGTGATGGCTGAAGCTTGCTTTCAAATGGTTCAGCCAAACCATGAACGTGTGTGTGCGCACACACACACACACACACATCAACAACTTTTGGGTGAGCATATGAGTGTTTATTGCACTATTCTTTCAACTTCTCTGTGTGTTTGAAAATTCTTGTAAAAAGTTGGGCAAAAAAGAAACTATTTTTGCCAAGTTAAAAAATAAGGCTCGTCCTCTCTCAATAGATATATTTATCCTCCATTCAATATCAGCTTCTCCAATGCAAGCCGACCGGGTTCTCAGCAGCTGGGAAGGTGGGCGGTGGGTGTGTGGT